GCAATCCGTCCAAAGGTAAAAACCCAGAGTCCTCTTTCAGGAGTGCATCATAGCTGATCACACCAGACTTTGCCACTTGAACGATTCGAGGTAGCTCGCCACTCTCATGTAGAAGCTTGTACATGACCATTCCGAGAGCAAAAATGTCCGCGGCTCTTCCATCGTTCCATGAATAGGGGCTCCCCCTGAGAAATTCAGGTGGAGACACCTCGCGAGTGCCATACACTTTCATTCCACAAGACACGTGGTTAGCATGGCCGTAATCTGCAAGGCGCACTTGCGGAAGATCGTCACCACCGCGGGGAGTTCCAGAATGACCAGCCTGCACAAGCACGTTTTCAATTTTGACATCGCCGTGGTAAAAGCCCCGTACATGAATTTGTGCGAGAGCGACAGCAATTTGACGAATCAGCCGTTTAATGGGGTTGATAGGCAAAAAAGTGTGTCGGTGCTGAGTGGACTCCCACACAAGTGCCCTGTGCGCGTATGCCCAAGCCCACAGGTCTGATGAGCCAGAGTGGAACGGAAGGCAGATTGTGGCGACTGCATTCGCGTAAATAGCTTTGAAATTTAGGGGGCAAAGCTTTTCCGTAGGTGATGAAGCGAGCCAATCGGATCCAAAAAGCTCGGTCACGAGGTAAAAATGCCGTGCATCCTTCCAGTCGTCAACATACTTCAAGAGATGTGAGCTGCTCTCACTACTTGACGAAGCCAAATATTTCGCAGCCTCGACTTCGGCGGCAAGCCCAGTGTGTGTGACTGCTGCTTGGGCTTTGTAAATTATTTTAATCGCCACCGGGGATTTCTTGAAAGAGGCAGCAAGAACGACACCATTAGATCCGAAACCAATAATGCGTTTCACGCAGTAGGTTCCCATCATCTTAGCAGGGCTTTCGGCAAAAGCTTGAACAACAGCGATGCGAGCTTTTGATTCATGTGATAGCGGGGCGGAATGGATTAGTCTCGACTCTGCCTTAGCCGGAAGATCGGCCGTAGGACAATATGGGAGATACGTTATGTTTGCATTTGATGGAGACTCGCACGGCGACACATCGGCGGAACGACAAGCGTTATCGCAAGCAGAGGAGGCCATGGAAGTTAACGACGCGGCGGTCGAGATATCGCTGGACGCGGACGCGTCACGGGCGAGGTCCTGAGGCTGTTGTTGGCGAAGGGGGCCGGTGGCTTCGGGAAGCATTGGTGGCTGGAGCTGGCGGGATGGCGGCGTGGGACCGGGCGGCTGGAGCGGGGTGATGGCGGCTATTTGTATTCGCACACTGGGGTGCTTGGCTCGCTCTGGCGAACCTTTGGCGTCGCCGCCCGCCACGCCGCCCGCCGATTGCCCGCCCGCCGGCTTCCGCCCACCGGCGCCGCTGTTGGAGTGCCGCTCTTTTCCGTGTGTGTTCGTGTGTGTGTGCTCGGGTGCTCGTGTGCGTTGTGGTGCGGTGCTGGGTGCAGCGGCGGCCTCGTGTCTTCCGCACGCCCCGCCACGAATGCGTGCGCGTATGCATCTGCCTCTGCATTTGCGTCTGCAAAAGGCGTCGCGTCCCGCAGCAGCGCGAGGTTCAACCTTCCGCGCAGGCGCCACTGTAAGCTCACGCGTAAGCATTACTAAAGCTATACGCGCTTCTGTTGCCATCTTATCGCAATTTACTTCACTTCCAGCACTTCCATCATTTAGATAGCCTCTCAGTCGCCACGCCATCCAGCCACACGTGCTCCACCACTTGTCGCGCTGTCAGTCGGCGCGTCGGGTCCACCATGCACAGGCCGCGCAACAACTCAAGTCCTTGCGCATCCACATCCTTCAATTCATTGAGAAAGTACAACGCGTTGTCTGAATGCATCAGCGAGTCATATTCAACGCGTCCTTCCCAGACCGCCTTTGCCCCTCCAGAATACCCAGTTTCGTGCAACAGCATAAACAGAATGATCCCAAGAGCCCACATATCCGCCGCACATCCGTCGCAATCCGGAAAACCGCTTAAGACCTCTGGAGGCGCGGCTGCCTCCGTTCCGTACTCCAGTATTCCCGTGCGCCGCCACCGACCAGACTTTGTGATGGTCACCGCGTGGCGCGCGTGCCCAAAATCTGCTAGCCGCACAAGGAAGTGCGGCTGTTCGGCGGCGGAAGTATTTGTTTGGGCGGACTGCACTAATATGTTTTCTGGCTTAATATCGCCATGATAAATGTCGCATCCGTGCATCTCCGCCAGAGCTTGGGCAATTTGCTTCACAATCTGTTTGATTGGATCCAACGGGAATAATGTGGTGCGACAGTTTGTGGACGCGTAAACTTCTGCTCGATGCCTTAGAGACCATGCCCATAAGTCTGACGATCCTGAGACAAACGGAAGACAAACATGAGCAGCGCTGTTATTGTGCGTTGCAGTGAAAACTATTGGCGGCAGTTTATCAATAGCTGACTGCTCAGCTGCACTGGCCAGCCAATCTGAGCCAAACAGTTCTGTCACGAGATAAAAGTGATTGCGATCTTGCCAGTCCGCAACATATTTCAACAGATGTGAATTACTTCCTGCTTTTCCGGTTAATTCTTTTAAAATGGCGATTTCTCTCGGTAAAGAACGCGGTTGCGGGGACCCACGAGATTTGTAAATGATTTTGATTGCAACTGCACCATTGCCGCTTCTTGCGGCCAATACAACGCCGTTCGAGCCAAAACCTACAACTCGTATCACTTTATAGGTTGCCAAGAGCTTTTCCGGGCTGAGTTGAAAAGCAAGCGCAACGGCAAACCGAGCTTTGTCTTCAGATCCTAAACCAAGATAAAGAGTTTTATCTTCCATGTTCGCCGTGGTGAGCATAACAGGAACGGGGGTCGAAATGATTTTAGGAAGCAGATGCTGGCAAATGCAGTTCGTGGATGCGTCTGAAGGCGTTGATCGAATGCGAAGAGTCAACTTCCGAGAAATCGTTGCGTCGTTTGACTCTATAGAAAATATTGCCCCGAAGTGATGAGTACGGGTGAGAGAATGAGTTTGTGGGTCAGTGCAAGTGTGGCGCCGAGTGCTTAGTGCAATTTGAAATCTTATCGCGTCATCATCACACCGGACACTGACCGTATTTCAAAGCATCGTGCAACAACAACGGCCCGTACAAAAAATTTCCCTTTTTGGCACAGAGTCCCTCTCCGATTCTTTCAGTTAATAGCACGAACGGAGAAAAGTTAGCAAGCAATAATTTATTAACATTGGGAACAAGAGTAAAGAAAAAAGAAGGGAATAAAAGAACGCGATTGTAACTATGAATCCGCAAACCAGGGGTGCGCAAGGACTTGGTGTATGTCGAGCCTGCGTGCTGGGTCGACCATGCACATACCGTTAATCAGGGCAACGCCATCGTCGTCGATGTCGGCAAGCTCGCAACGCGAGAAGGGAAAGAATCCAGAGTCTTCGGAGACAAGATCGGCGTACGTGATGCGGGCGGAGGCACAAGCTGCGGCGCGTTCGGGCAATGTGCCGGCCTCGGTGAGGAGCATGAAGGTAAGCATCCCCAGGGCAAACACGTCAGCAGCACGCGCATCACTGCAGTCTGCGTTGTGATTGACGCGTACTTTTGCGCCAGTATGGTAAGGCGAGCCGCGAAGGAACTCCGGTGCTGACATTTCGGGCGTGCCATATGCGGCAATGCCACAGGAAACGTGCTTTGCGTGCCCAAAGTCTGCCAGTTTAACGCGCGGCCCTGCCGTGCCAGCATGGCGATTGTTCTGCACGAGGATGTTCTCAACCTTGATGTCTCCATGGTAATAACCTTCCGCGTGCATTTCTGAGAGGGCAAGCGCTATTTGCGACACGAGCTGCCGTACTGGCCGCAAGGGAAGCAACGTATGACTGTAAGATGATGTTTCCCACACATGTGCTCTGTGAGCATACGCCCACGCCCAGAGATCGGATGATCCGGCTGAGAATTCGAGGTTCACTGGATGCGACTTGTGCTGGAAGCAAATGCTGAAATCCAACGGCTGAAGGTTTTCACGACGCGCAGTTGGTGCCACCGCCAGCCAGTCTGAACCAAAGAGCTCCGTAACCAAGTAAAAGTGATGACTATCTTGCCAGTCATCAACGTACTTGAGCAAATGTGACTCGCCGCGATCGACTGTGAGATGCTTCAAAACCTGAATTTCAGACGGGGCTGTAGATTGTGAGGCCTTGCGGCCTTTGTAAATAACTTTGATGGCGACAGGTAAATTTCCCATCAGTGCCGCCAACACGACGCCATTAGATCCGAAGCCGATGATTCGCTTTACAGAGTACGTGCACAAAAACGTTTCTGGGCTGTTTTCGAATGCCTGAACGACGGCGAGCCGAGCCTTTTCCTCCGATCCTACGGATTGATAGAGTTTCGGCCTGCGCTTGGAAGCACTGGCAGAGGAACCGGATCGGTTTCCAGCATGTTTTGAATGTTTGCTGGCCGAACTCGCCGTGGAAGCTGATGTTAGCGAAGCATTGCTTGTCGACGACAGCGGTCTGGAGTTCATGGCTCGATGATGTTGGCACATACACCATCAGGTGAAATCTGGACGTTTTATGTGATGGCCACTGATGCGTTTCGTTGCGTCACCAATACGTCATAGACAATTTTTTGATTGTCATTTGTCATCGCCATTGTTCGTCACATGGCAGAAGCGTGACGATTTCGCGCGCCATGTGCAAGACCTTCTCTTCTGAATAATATGACGCCACATCTTCCATCCATTGAGTTGTGCTCTTTTGGAAATCATTTGCAAATTTCGTTTGATTACCACGCCGCATCTTTTTCGAATTACAAAGACCCCTCCGAGCACACAAGGTAGGAGATAGTCCAAAAGCTCCTAATGTTTTTATTTTGACTTTCATCAGCGTCAATACCACAGACTTCAAACTGGGAAAGATCCTTTTGGGAAAAGTCGTTCGACGGAACGTGTTACCACATTTGATATAGTTCGGACCGGATCTGCAGCTGTGAAGGCAAACATTCTCCAGTAAAATCAAAAATAAGTGAGGACCGGGCGGGGGTTGATCCCGCGACCTCGGGATTTGCAGTCCTACGCTCTACCACTGAGCTACCAGTCCTCAAATTCCAGCTGGAATTATGCGCATAATGACTATTAGAAATATTCGGAGATCGGGTTGGAAAAGTGGGAGTTTGGGCAGCTACCTGAAAATTAATAACTGCTTTGGGACGCACGGAATGGCACAAATCCAGCTTACGGATCCTCCCGCAGGACGAGTTCGATGGTCCATGGGGATGCAGAAATGTGAGATGGGGTGGACAAGCATTTGCGCTTCGCAGAAAAAAAAAATCACAAATATGATCAATTTCAAATCTATTCCCTCAAAAAATTTGTCCACAAACTCAAAATAACACCGAAGAGAATCACAAAACAGAATCCCCACCGGAGATATCAAAAAATATCCAACCTCAAATTTCGGAGGGCCGGGGCCATGGATACGGTCCCATTCTTATATATAACCATGTTGCAGGCAGACGCGCAGGATGTGTTTGTTGAGAAGATAACGGACAGCTCCGTTAGTCCGCGAGCCAAGGATGAGCCAGGACTTGCTCGATGGTCAGCCGCCTTGCCGGATCGACCATGCACATGCCATCAAGCAGTGACACTCCGTCCGCATCGATGTCGTTGAGACTGTCGAAGGGGAAGAAGCCAGAATCTTCGCGGAGGAGGGCCTCGTAGCCAATGCGGCCAGATTTCACAGACTTAACGATGCGCGGGAGTTCGCCTGACTCGTTGAGCAACATGAAGAGAACGATGCCGAGAGCAAAGACGTCTGCAGCGCGGCCGTCAAGATGCGCCGCGGGGATTGGCGCGTCGTGGAGCAGCTCGGGCGGGGACACCTCCTGCGTGCCGTACGAGACGATGCCCTGAGTGTGGTGCTTGGCGTGGCCAAAGTCCGCGAGACGTACGCGTGGCGCGGGAGGAGCTACCGCGCCGGCAGGAGCGCGGTCGGATTGGACGAGAACGTTTTCGACTTTTATGTCGCCGTGGTAGAACCCGCGAGAGTGCATTTCGGATAGAGCTGCCGCGGTCTGGCGGATGATTTGCTTGATAGGCCGGATGGGAAGGTATGAATGCTCATGGTTGGAGACGGACCATACATGCGCCCGGTGGGCGTATGCCCATGCCCAAAGATCGGAAGTGCCGGCGGAGAAGTTAAGAGAAACCGGGATCGTCAGTCCATTGTAAATAGCTTGGAAAGACAGCGGAGCCAGCTTTTCCGAGGCACCAGCCGATGTGCCGGCTGCAGCGGCGAGCCAGTCGGAGCCGAACAGCTCCGTCACCATGTAGAAATGATGCGAGTCTTGCCAGTCGTCTACGTAACGGAGGAGATTGGTCTGGGCGGCTGCGGCGGCGGCGCCGGAAACAGAGTTCAACTGCTTCAATACTTCGATTTCAGAAGGAACTGGCTGAACCTTTGAAGACACCTTCGCTTTGTAGATGATTTTGATAGCGACCGGTTTTGTGTTCAGAGTTGCAGCAAGGACGGCGCCATTCGAGCCGAAGCCCACGATCCGTGCAACACGGTAAGTATTGAGCAACTTGGAGGAGCTGAGAGCAAAAGCTCTGGCCACCGCAAGGCGAGCCTTGCTCTCGGAATCAAGGTTGGCGTACTGAGACTTGCCCTGTTTAACTGCTGCCAACTTTGCAAGTTCTGGGGGGATGATAATTTGGGCCGGGGTGCCAATTGCTGAGTGGGAAGAGGAATCGCTTGATGCCGAAGACGTGCGGGGGGATGGAGGGGCCATCGCGTTGTTGTTGATTGCAGCCATTGGTTGGGTCTCACGAGTAAGCTTTGAGTGCGAATGTGAGAATCGGCGCTGGTGGGCGACGGGGGTTTTAAAGCGGATTTCGGATGATTCGCGCCATTTGAAATTCGATTTGTCGTGGTTTGAGTGACACGTTGATTCGGAATTTGTTGGAAATTATTAGAAATCTGATTTGAAACCACACGATGCTTGCAGCGCGTGGATTGCGAATCCAATTGTCGCCACGTCTGTGGATGGCCCCTCCTGCTTTCGGCCCTCCGCAATGCTGCTGTCGCCCCATTAATTGTTTAAGCTTTATGAATGTGACAAATGGTGTCTTTAGTAACACAATTTCAAATGGCTTTTCAGGCTCTTTGTCATGAGTTGATACTAAGAAAAAAGGAAAATGCAAGCAATATCACCTCAACAATCGCGTCAACTGCACATAATTTATTTGCTCATGCAACCAAAGAAAGAAAAACGCAACAAATGACCTGGCGCAGCTTCACACCCGAAACCAGCCGTGCTCAAGAACTTCTGAAATCCGCAATCGTCGATTCGGGTCAAGGTAACACATCCGCGTTAGCAGGTCCGCGGCAAGCGGATCCCACTCCTCTATTCCATCAAACGGAAATTCCTTGCTTTGCCTCACACAATCATACTGGTCCAAGTTTTCCGGATACTCTTTCGCTGTCACGACTACCGGCAAATCTCCGCACTGGCTTAACAAAACAAACAAGACCATCCCTAGAGCAAAAACATCTGCGCTCCTTGGATCGTAATCCAAATCATGGATTAGCGGTTTAAGGCTTTCATACAAAAATTCGGGCGCCGACATCTCCATTGTGCCATAGCGCCTGATCCGGCTAGCTGTACCTGTCCGCTCGCGCAAATCAGGCGCTACTGAAAAAGCTTGGCCAAAGTCAGCGAGAACGACACGCGCATTCGCGGGATTGCCATCATCGGCTTGTTGGACGAGAAAGTTCTCCAACTTGATGTCCCCGTGACAGAATCCTGCCGCGTGTACATCTGCAAGCGCAGCAGCGCATTCACGGAACACGTGACGCACCGTATTGGTGGGCAACAGTGGTGGAGATGACGCGCCTGCGGAAGCGACTCGCCGATGCATCACAGACCAGGCCCACAAGTCGCTTGCGCCAGCTGAAAATGGTAATCGGTGCAATTGGACAACGTCATTATCAGAGGGCTTGAGTCGCCGTTGCTGTTGCTGCGAGATTGTTTTAAAGACGAGTGGCGGTGACACCGTAGCATCTTCATCTTCGTTACTCTTACTGCAATTCTCGTCAGAAGACATAGGCGTCAACCAGTCGCTTCCAAAGAGTTGAGTGACGAGATAAAAGTGGTGGGCATCCTGCCACACTCCAAGACATCGCAGTACACGACAAGAATCAGGGAGAGCACAGTTTACAGCCACAAGCGCCTCAATCTCGGACGGAAACGTCTGGTTACCAGAAGACTGGCGCTGGTGCTTGTATATGATTTTGACAGCTACAAGACAGTTTTGGGTCATATCAATTGCTGAGATAACAGCTCCATTCGCGCCAAATCCCACGATTCCCAAGGGCTGGAAGCGGCCAAACAGGAACTCGTGTGGGCTATTTGCATAGGCGTATATTACCGCGAGGCGAGCCTTATCGTGCGTGGAAAAGGAATGGTAAAGAGGTGAACTTGGATTGGCCGAAATCTGAGATTCAGCTTTTGAGACCAACGCAAGAAGAGCCGGAGGCATAACAATTTTGACTCTGCTGGAGCTGGAGGTTGCCGACGATTGGGGGCTGGTATTTGAGACGCAGTGAGAATCGCCGTGCGAGTGGTGGAGGCGGTTGTTAACGCAGGATAGTTTGAGGGTGGGGGTCGGGGCCATGAAGGAGTCGGGATGAGCAGAATGGGCAGGACGAGCAGGCGACGCAGACACACAGGCGGCCGTCATTATCATCGCAGGCTTTGGGGAGGCGCAGAGCGGCGTCTTTATGCGACGGTGGGTGGTTGCTGATAAGATCGGACGCGATGATTGATTTTGCAGGCGCTCATTTTCGCGTTGCTTTGATAAGACGCGGGCACAGGGGCTCGTGGGCGGGGGCACCGCGGTGCGCGCCCTTCGCGGATGCACGGCGCCTCCGCTCCGGCGCCATCCGCGCAGCCATCGGCACGGAGATGCGAGCGGAGGGGCGGGCGAGTGCGCCCCAGTATATCTTCACAACAGAGCAACCAATTCTTCTCCTGGTACGTTTTCTTCAATCTACCTTCAAACCTCTTGCAAGGTTTTCGATTGCGATGGGAGGAGTTTATATCCAATTTTTATGCTCATTGCAACTCCTCACCAAATTACCCGTCAACCACCGCGGTCAACCAATGCAATTAACAAGAAAGTGACCTAAATTCATGCTTCCACTCCCGACAGCCACGGGTGCGCCAGAACCTGCTGGATCGTCATTCGTGCCGCCGGATCAACCATGCACATGCCGCGGAGGAGACTCCAACCATCACTGTCCAATTCAGTTATTTCGTCCATCGGATAGCTTGAATTGAGTTCCAGCTGCGCGAAAGACATTTTCCCTCCTGATCCTGGGATCGTCTGCCCTGTCGCGTTCAGCAAGCTGTAGAGCACCATTCCGAGAGCAAACACGTCAGCCCGCCGCCCATCTAAATCAGTCTCCAAATATGGACTGTCTTCCAAAAACTCTGGTGGCGACACCGCCCACGTACCGTAAGTGGATATCCCCTCGTACACATATTTTGCATGCCCAAAATCCGCAAGCCGCGCGTTGCACAAGCTTGTTTTGTCGTCATGGCCAACGAGCACATTCTCGCATTTGACATCCCCATGGTAAATACTGTGTGCATGCAAGTGCGCTAGCCCGAGCGCGAGTTGTTTCGCAAATCGCTTTATCGGAATCAGAGGCAGCAACCGGTGGCCCTCGGTTAGGAAGACATGCACGCGTGACGCGTAGCTCCAAGCCCACAGGTCCGACGAGCCTTCAAAGAACGGCAGTGTGTGTGTGACAGCCGACCCACGGTATGTTGTATTCAAGACAATCGGTTCGTTCTTGGCTAATGCTGCCGTATTGGCAGACTTCATCGATGGCTCCAGTGCTTGCGTACCTGTTTCCCAAGACGATGGGATGCTCTCCAGCCAGCTGGATCCGAACAACTCTGTCACCAGGTAGTAGTGGTTCAAATCTTGCCAGTCCGAGTACGTGCGCATGATATAATCGCAAGACCGCGTGCTTGGGGCCGCCAAATGCCGCAGAACCTCGATTTCGCCTGGAGGCCGAGACTCGATGCGACC